GTAATTGTTTATATAAAGCACCTAATATGCTATAAATCAAAACCACAGATGATGAAAAAAAATTCACAATAATAATAACAACAATCCTGATGATGGCAATAATAACAATAGTAATAATAATAATAATAATAATAACAATAACAATAATAACAATACATATGTGATTTTGGTAATTGCTATTGACGTCTCTCAAATTTGACACAAGCGTAAAGGTAGAGTGAGGAGTGAGTGTGGTTCGCGCCTATGCCAGCCAGCCAGCCAGCCAGCCAGCCAGCCAGCCAGCCAGCCAGCCAGCCAGCCAGCCAGCCAGCCAGCCAGCCAGCCAGCCAGCAGGGTAACAAGGTCTTCCACTCGACTCAACTTTGCAGGGCTTCTTACCTGAGTGATGAACTTGTGCCTCATGCCATTTGTTGTTCAGGTTTTAAACAAACTTTTTTGATTCATCATCAAAAATCAAGCATAGAAGTTTTGTGCGTTTGGTTACAGACGTGAAGACGTAGAGAAATGTAATTTTTTTACTTTAATATCACGACGAAATTAAGCAAGTCAGTTGAACAAAATTCCTGTATAAACAACACACACACGATTCAAATATACACACATTCCAGAGTATATACATTCATAAATACACAAAGAAAGGAGAGAGAGGGAGAGAGCCAGAGCAAGTACAATAATATAGATTTGCTACCTATTATATGATACAATTCAATTCATTACACATAGTAGTAGCAGTACAGAGTGCATGCAATGAAAATAGGCAGGTAATAATATTTTAATATTTCTATTTATATCTTATGCACACACACACACACACACACACACGCACACATACACATAAATATACACATATACACACAAATATACATACGGACGCACATACATGAAATTGATCATGAATTAAAAAAAATGCTACAAACTAATCAGATGAGAGCATGAACACAGAAAACATGAAGAAAAAGAAAGAGGTAGAAAGAAGGAAGGAGGGAAAGGTCTGCGAGTTAGCTCAGTCGGTAGAAGTGCCATGTCTTGTGCAGTTACGCGACGGCATGGTTCGAATACTGTCTGCGTCCGAAACTCACTTGCGCGTGCGTGCTTAATATGTAGGTGCGTCAGGTCACGTGGTGTCGCGTGGTGTGGTTAAGGTTCTGTGGGCACAAAGTTCAAATGTACGAATTGATGATATGTAAGCAGATATCTGCGAATGTCAGAGAGCTGTATAATAAAAAAAGGAAGAGGAAATTAGAATAAGAGAGAGAGATAGAGAAAAAAAGAGAGAGAACGAAAGAAAGAAATAGAGAGAGAAAGGGGAAAAAACATTTGAAGGTTGGATGCTGCTAGAAAAGTTTTTTTTTCAGCCACAAAGCTGTAACTTGCAGTGGAGGAAGAAAATCAATAAGAGGCACCAACAGGCACCAACAAGCAAAAATAGATTGCTGTATCATGCACGTGGAAGGGACCATGTCTAGTCCTCTATGACTGTCTGTCTGGATGGATGTGTATCCGTGTGTGCGTGTATGAGCGTTTGTATGTTTGCATGTCTGTATATGTACCTAGTTGTGTTTATGTCTTTGTATTTATGTCAATTTAGCTATCTAGATGCATAAATGATTGACTGTTATATTTAAGGATGGTTCTCCAGTGCAGCTGAATGATACACATGCACGCACACTCAAACAGATACAAACACGTACATACACACACAAATACACACACACACACACACACAAACAAACATACATATACAGAGGAACAAACATACATATATAAATTTGTTGCATGAATGGAGTAATACTGAGAAGAAATTATGATTTATGTACATGTTCAGACATGAGTATGAATAGATGTGATTCAAATAAATGAACAAGTTAATGTTAAGAATTAATTCAATGAATGAATGAACGAACGAACGAATGAACGAACCAACAAATGGACAAACGAATGAACGAAAGAATGAAGAACAGTTGGGCAAACAAATGAACAAATGACTTAAATAAAATACACCAAATAATATAACATAACATACATAGATGAAAAATTTAATAGCATAAATAACGATGAGAGAATGTGAGAATGATTGATTGATTGAATGAATGAATTATTGAACGAATGAATTATTGAATGAATGAATGAATGACAAAAGTAAATGAATGAATAGGTAAATAAAAGAATAATAATTACAATAAAAATAAAGCAATATTATTATAAATAACAAACTGATGAGTAATGCCATACAAAAAGACATTATTCTCAATCGTAGTAATAATAATAGCAGCAGTAGTAGCAGCAGCAGCAGTAGTAGTAGTAGCAGCAGCAGCAGTAGTAGTAGTAGTAGTAATGAAATTAGACAACTCCAAAAGGATTTTTTGTATGTTAAAAAAACGTCAGATTCTTCTGCTCAATATTAAAACATATAAAATTGTAAATTGAAAACACATTAAGTTAGAAGCATTTTATGGTGATGTTGTTGACAGAACATGACATGGAAACATACAAACACACATATGCACATGTACATACACACATACACAATTAAGCCAACATGAATTGACATAACATACTACTAACTAAAAATTACTTCGATATATATATATATATATAAATAAGTATTTTCAAACAAGATGAGTAATAATGAAAGTCACACCACACACACACGCGCGCGCGCGCACACACACAAAAACACACTCAAGCATCTTCACATACCCATACACATACATACATACACACACACATACATACATACATACATACATACATACATACATACATACATACATACATACATACATACATACAAAGACATATACACACACAAACACCCACACATAGCAACTTATTATAATATCATTATATCCTGGATAGATGAAACATAAGCTAGTAAAAGAGCTCTTCAAAAACATTTTAAATTGTGTATATTATTATCATTACACAATATGATATATGCATGTATGTGTATACTGTATAGCGTGTAAGATTGTATGTATGTATGTATGTGTGTATGTATGTATGTATGTGTATATACATGTATGTATGTATTTGTGTACATGTATGTATGTATTCATTTGTATGTGAGTTTAAATTTTTAAGTATATATATGTTTAGAGATTTTTATGTGTGTTGTAAACTGTAGATGCCCATATCTTTATTAATGAAATAATAATAAATATTCTTATCAGTAGCAGCAGAAAGCACTAAATGATTATTCTCCCTTTTAATTTTATTATTCATTATTAATAATATAATTATTTGTTAATATTAATAATAATTTTTATAATTTCATTTGCTGCTGTTTATCTCTCAACTCTGAAAACAGAGTTCAATTGCAAGAATTCTTTTCCCTCATTTATTGATGCAGGCATAGGCCTACTTAGGAATTTATTAATTCTACTTTGAAATAAGAAATGACATGTCATATATAAAGATATATTGATACACATACATATATAGATATGTATACGTATAGTATAGTATTATAGATTATCATAAGAATTAGTATTTTATATATATATATATAAGCTAATTCATTATAATATATAAAGTGTTAATTATTAAAAATTAAAATTAGAAATAAAAATCTCAATTCTTGAATAACATTTTTTCTTTGGAAATAATATTAATAATTATTCAATTTTCAAAATTTTTGAATGAAAAAAAATACTTTTTTAAATATTATGTCTAAGTTTGTTGTATGAACTTTATTAAAACTAATAATTATTAGTTAGATTATTATTACATTATAATATTATCAGCATAAACCATTTTTTGTTACAAGCTGGTACAATATCTGAAACTTGAAAAAATGATTTCTAGACCTAACCTGTCTTAAACTGTAGCAAATGATTTTACTTTAAAATTTTTTATTTATACTAAAAGAAAAAAGCAACATTGATTAATAAACAGAAGCAAACAGGTCAGACAGATGCCAACAAGACAAAACTAATAGCTAACATTTTAGCATCAAAATTCAGCCATAACACCTCGCCAATTAATAATTTAACAATAAAACCATAAAAAGAGCAATAAATATTAAAACTAATTGCTTACCACAAAGATTTCAGCTCCTAATCGCCAATTTTTCACCCCTGAATGCAAAGCAAGTCAATGCTAATGACCAACTAGGGCTGCAAAATTCATATGTATTTATAACATACACAGATATAATTCTTACATACATACACACACACATGTACATGCATTTGCTGCATTAAATTTTAGTGACATCTAGTTCTGAATCCGTTAAATTTTTAATCAAAAGTGTTTTTTAATGTACTTAATGTTATAATTTATATGAGCAGTTCGTTTTGTGTGATTAATGAATAAATAGAAAGTTTTCTTCATTAAGTTACTATTGTTGCAAACAACCATCCATATGCAGTGCAAGTGAAAGATGATCATAATTCCTTTCTGACACATACAAATTTCCAGATTTGTGCGTTTAGATTTCAGTTACATACTTTTTTTTATTAAGAATGCACACAATTCTAATGAAATTAAGTTTATTTTCTAAAAAATACAATGAACATAACAGACCAGAACAAAATGATAATTCAAAAATAGCAACTAACCAGCAAAAAAATCACTAAAAAATTGTTTAACAATTAAAAACACGATTCTATCACTAGATTAATTGAAAAGACCTTAAACTAAAACATTTCTTTCTTTAAATAAAATGTCTAATTGATTCTCAATAGGCAGACAGGTGCCTCTCAAGTTTTCCACAACTTTTGATGCCCAGATAAAATAATCTTGCACTCTTTTCAGGCTCCAACCTTCTGGTGTTGCTCTGTTTAAATCCCTCAAGTTGTAAAGTTTGTCGGCCAGTTTCACTAATTTAGCTTCGTGGGAAACGGATTTGGCTTTTTTTATTTGTTCTAATTTTCTCTCATCTCTTGTTAGGCCCTTGTTGTCTGTAACTTCTAGTACAATATCTGAATTTTGAAACACAATTTAAAATATGAATACAATAAAATTGTGATATAAAACTACAAATTTTGATAATTATCAAAAATGTGTAAACGTGTTTCAAATTTAGGAAAAAGTTCACATACCAGCAACTTTTTTGCCAAACAAATATTCAATCTCATCATAAGTGGTGTCTGTATCTTCAATGGTGTCATGGAGTAATGCTGCCTAATCAACAGTTAATCAAATTATATTTACAAATATGATAAACAAAATGAAATGATAACTTTTTAATTTAATGGCATTCATACTGAAATATTAAGATCTAAAATTCAACTGTAGCTGAAATAACTTTAAGGTAATATTTAAACAAATTGTCAGAAACTAAGTTTAAAACAGAAAAAAATGAAAGTAACAAAGAAATACAACACCATAATATGTAATAATTAAAATAATTAATAATAATTGTGACATAATGATGAATAATAACTGTAGATGAAAATAACAAATTAAGGAAGAAATAAAACCTGCAGAACATTTATATCAGAAATGTTTCCTTCAGATGTCAGGATGTGTGCAACTCCTAATAAGAATAATAAATAAATGAAATATTCTTAGAAGAACTTGTTGAAAGAATTGTCAAATACAATAATGTGTACATCAATGGCATGTTGTTAGCTGATATGGCTGTATAAAAAAGGAAGAGTAAATGAGAAAGAGAGAAAGAGGGAGGAAGAGAGAGGAGAGAGAGAGAGAGAGATAATGTTTTAGTGGCTGCTTACACTGTATAATGCTAAATACACCTAATAAACCTACAGAATTAAGATAGTTATTCTCAAAGTAAGAAGAATGTGATTTGATTTAAAAACTTTGAGATTGGGATAGGTAATTGAAATTTAGTTATGACATTTGATTAACATTAAATGCACTTGACTTAAGAGAGCTTCCTATTTGAACCTAACTCAGCAACAATTACTACATTCTTGAATTCATGATTCCTAATGTAATAATACCCAGGTCAAAAAAAAATTCAATGGAAATCAATTAATAAATTTGTACTGCACACCAGTAAAAAAGTTGAATACTAAACGGTCAGTAGACACAGTCTTAAACACGGAAGTGAATAAATTAAGAATTAATATTAAAATTAAATAAATAAAAACTAATAAATTTTAAATTAGTAAAAAATTAGACTTTAATTAACCTATAGGATGGTTGATGTAAGGGGTTTTCTCTGGATCTTTTCTTCTTTGTTTTGTGTGCTTTTTAGCGGCAAAATCCACACACTTCACAAAATCATGGAGCCACGATTCCTTCGGAGCACCTTCGTCTGCCATTTGATTTTTAAATTACTTTTAATCTCAGCTCACTTTTAGTTTAAGCAAACATTTAATCTCAGCTCACTTTTAATCACTTTTTTAAAAGTAGGAAAAAATTCTTTTGACTAGCAAATTTTCCTATGATTGATTATTATTAAATTTCTTTAAAAGTTTACCTAAATGTTGTGTCAGACAATTACGTTATAAATGTAATTTGATGCATTAAACTTTATTGCTATGGTATGTTAGTCAGGCCAAATTTTTCATTTTAAAAACGAAAATTCTCAATTTTATTTTTTTAAATTTAAAGTTAATTAAAGAAGGTTAAAGTTAACTTCACAATATTTTACAGGGACACAGTGGGTGGAGTGAGCAAACCCTTGCTTAGAAAATAAAAATGTTGCTAACTTGCTAACCAAAGAATTAAAAAAATTACAACACTGTAAAAGTGTAAAACTGTAAAGTAAATAAAATAAATAATTTATTAAAAATTAAAATGGAGTTTGAAAATATTTATTTAACCCTGAGAAAGAGAGAATATTCTTGTCCAATCAATCCTTACAGACAGAACATGAAATTGTTAAAATTTTTACTGTCAAAACATGACATCCATGAAGAGGTTTTTTCATCTGAATGTACCATTGAATCTAAATATAAACTGTTCTATGATAATTTAATAGTATTCAATAATAAACTGCAGAAGTATAGTAACATTTTTTCCAAGACCTGTATGAAGGGAATAAAAATAAAATTCAAAAGTATCTCTTCTAGCAAATATGGAAAAATTGAAGATTGCCTATTTTCTCAGTGTCCAGTTGAAGATGTCAGCTATCTAGAATCTTTGGAACAACCTCATTTTTATGTCATTTCTCAGAATAACTGGTTTCTCAGAATAAATTGTCACACATGCACTGTTGATAAAGAACTTTACATGACTGACTTGTGCAAGTTCAAACTTATCATGTGGGATGTTCAAGAAGAGAGGCTTTATCTTTCTGCTACTATATCAGAAGGTGGTAAAAAGACATTTGTTTTTGCTCTGTTTTCAGTATGGCCATTGAGGTTCCAAGGTGTGTTTTCTCTTTCTTCCAAATCATTTGGTTTTGATATGAAAGAAGCACTACTGTCTGAAAACATGCTATTGGTTACATCTTCAGATGCAATGGTCAGAATTTTTGGACTTGATTGCGAATTTTATTCAAAGCCTGTTAATAATTTGAAGTTTGAAAGTCTACCAGTAATTCCATCAATTGAAAATTACTGCAGATTGCTGTTTGAAGTGCCTGCTCCATGGGACTTCTTTACTGTAGGAGGTATGCCATGGCATTACATCGTATTTTCCTCTTTTTCTCAGTCTCAGTTCAGTGTTCAGTGTTTAAGAACTAGGACAGTTGCCAAGGATGGCAAATTAAATATAAAAAATGCGCTACTCGATCCAGATAAATGTTTTTTTTATCCAGATTCTTCAGGGAAAATCGTCAAAGTTAGCAACGATTCTGTTGAACTTTACAACCTGAAAAGCGACGGTTACGACAAGTTTAACAACCCGACGTGTTCAGTAGAACTGTTATACATGCTGGACTACAGTGAGGAAAAGAGGCCCGTCGTAACACACACATCTTCAGGTAGGGCGATCAAGAAGAGAACATTTCCAGGAGCCATTAGCGAAAATTTTCATTCCAAAGTTCAACTAGTCATTTGTGAAATCGATATGGACATTATTGGAGTGGTTACTCTATCTAGGTGCTCCTCTAATGTAGCCGCCATTACGTTTTATGAAATAGATACTGGTAATTATATCACTAAGTTGGAGTTTGCAGAGGCATGGGACGTGAATGCCGAACATGACGTCAAATTAGACTTGGATATCTTGTACCACTACATTAAGACTAATTCCAAACATGTTTTAATTGTCTACAGGTTGATGTCAAAGTCTTAGAATTTGTTTTATGTCATTTTATTAGACAATTTCATGTTTTAATGTTATGTGTCATTATCTTTGTATGTTTTAAACTTTAGTAAATTGTTTTTGGTAAATTTGTATTTTAAATTGTATACATTTCAATGATTTTGTTAAAAGAATATAACTTCTTATTTGTACAATATTTTATTCGACAGATTCATACATTTAGTTGCGTGTTCATATTTGACACGTTTTTCATGTGCCATATTGTTGCTGCGTTGAGATTTGATTGAGTTATTTTATGGATAACAATTAATTAAATTTTACTTATTAAAAGTACAATCACATACTTGAGTAATATTGCGGGATTTTCGCTTGTGTTCACTTGATGTGGTGTCTGTGTCATTGAGTTCAACCTTATATTATTAACGAACGCACCTAATTTTTACGCCATTTTTAATTTTCTTTGTTTGACCGGCGCGGTAGAGATACAATTCTGGTTGCATATTTGTAAATTTTGTCTCTTCGTCGGTTTGTTTGACGCCTGATTTGTCATTTTTCTCATTTTTGCATAACAATTTCTCATTTTTGTCTCTACCATCAATTTTCGTTCGCTTTTTTTATCGCCTGATTAAATTGTCAACCACTGAAAGTGAAGTACGGATTTTAAATTTAAAATTGAAATTTAATTTCATTCCGGTTCAATTCTCATTCAGAATTTACCGCTTCTAGTTTTTTATTCATCGCACGAAATTCAATTTTTGACTTAATAATTGCTATTTCTTTATTTCTAGTTCCTATTGAATCGCCAAAATGTCAAAGTCCAAATCAAAGCAAGATGAGCCAGCTGAGGATGCTGAGGCAGAAGAGGAATTTGTTGTGGAGCGCGTCGTGGACATGAGAGTGAGGGGTGGCAAGAAGGAATATCTCCTGAAATGGAAGGGATATCCTGAGTGAGTTCGTTTTTTTCAATATTATTTTTATTTAATTATCTTCAATTTTCAATGAATTAACAATGATCTATTAATTATATTTATTTTATTGGTAACTTAGTGTTGATGTGTTAAAAGATTTTGTGTCTGGCAGTATTTTTTCTTCACCAAATTTGAAATTATTACTTAATATTTTGCATTTATAATTTATTTTAATGAGTTAATTTGACTTTTTTAGTTCTGAAAACACTTGGGAGCCAGTTGAAAACCTTGACTGTCCAGAGCTTATAGCCGCATACGAAGAAAAATCAAAAAAGGAAAAAGAGGAAAAGAAAAAGAGGAAAACTAAAGAAACGACAGATGACGAAGGGACCACAACATCAACTTCCAGCAGCAAAAAGAGGAAAGTAGCTGAGGTAAGGAATTCATTTTCACAAGCTGACCTACTTATTAAATGTAAACTTTTGTTACTCTTTGGTTCTTATTTATATTTTGTTCATTGCAATTTACATTATAAAAATTTGTTTCTCCAAAAGGCACAGGCCGAGGAAGAGAACAAGCTGAGAGGATTCGAAAGAGGTTTGCAGCCAGAGAGAATTATCGGGGCCACTGATAGCAGCGGTGAACTCATGTTCCTCATGAAATGGTTAGTGATGGGGTTAATTTTCAAGATATCTAAGGTTTTAAGATTTGAATTGAGTCTATTCCTGAAATTCACCTAAAATTATTTAAGTTTGATTTGACTATAAATTTGATTTTTTTATTCTTTCCATGTAAGTGATATAAATTAAAAAAAATATGTAGGAAAGATTCGGATGAGGCTGATTTAGTTCCAGCTAGGATTGCAAATGTTCGTTGCCCACAAATTGTCATCACTTTTTACGAGGAACGCCTCACCTGGCACACCCACACAGATGAAGAGGGTGGAAAAGATTAATCACAATTAATTAATTAATTATCCACTTAATTATTTTAAAATAATTGATGTATAATTGGTGGCTAATCAACGTTTATTTTAAATATAAATATATATATATATATACTTATGATATGATAACGCTCATGATGATGGTAACAATGACAGAATCATTATGATCACCAATATATGTGGCTGTGTTTTTATTGAGTTATGAAAGTATTCAGCTTAGTTTATGTTACAATAATAATAATTAATGCTATAACTATGTTATTGTTTTTTCTTATTTCAAAATACTGTTAAACATACATCAACCTTAATTATGTGTTAATTTAATGAAGTTTTGTGGTGTTTTTAATGGCTGGCTGGTTGACTGACTGACTGTCGTTCAGTCTTAAGAATTTTATGGGATTGTGTTTTTTTGTGTGTGTGTGTGTGTGTGTGTGTATGTATGCTCTATACGCAAATTTTCAAAATGCGTTTGGACTGTCGCTTGATGTAACATTTGCTCTACCTAATTTGGAGTTTAAATAGGTTATTCATTAATTAGATCTTAAACGTTTTTAGTTTAAATGTAATGTAAAAACATTGTAATAGCGTTGAATAATGTTTTAAGCTAAAACAGGTTCTTATTCTTTACACTCTAAATTTTCGTTCTTTTCATTCAGGATGTTTAATAAATTTTATGAAGAAATAAAATTAACAAAACGAAATATTTATCAAGTGAAAATAGAAAATAAAACCAACAAGCAAAGCTAAAACAAAAGAAATGATAACTATGGTGTCTGCATGACGCTCTTGCACACATTGAAAATTATGTCTTCTACCCTATTAAAAATTGAAAACTTGAAAAGATTCAGAAACATATGCATATTTTAAATGAATTAGTTTAACCCTTTGTAGATCTGAACGCAACATTTGCTAGTCTGCAGGCCATATAGTATAAAAAACAAAATGGAAAAATATTCACCTATATATTTTTATTTAAATTTGTTCTCAATGTGACGTTTTATCTATTTAAATCTAATTTGCCGGTTTTGCGTTGCCTATCACACGTTTCAAATTACCTGGAAGTTCTGTTGCAAAACGAATTGGAAGCATTAGAGGGTGATGACGTTATTACCGATCGAATATTATTCGCTCCGTTACAACTCGTTTTATGAGTGACCGTGACGGTTCTCTTACCGTGAACTAAGTATCTTGGTACATCCCTGTCAACGATTCCGTCATTTATGTTGTCGTTTCTGTTGTGAGGTTTCAAACAGAAGCTTGAGTAAAGTGAGTTTTGAGGTTTTTTTGAGCGGCAGTTACTACTTGAGCGTTTTTTGTTTCTTGTGGCACATGACAGTAAGGCCATCGCGATGTTACACCGATCTCGTTTTACCGGTGAATCGTTCGATTTTGATGGAGATGATGTCGAGTTTGGTTTCAACTGGCAGTAGTTTCTCCAGTTTGAGGCGCTTGTTTCCTCATTTCTTCCAGTCGTTAACCGGTTAGTATTTGGAATGTATATGGTTTCTGTCGATGAATAGTTAAGACCGTTTTTGTGATGTTTATGGGACGAACTGGCTTTCGTTGTGTGGTTTCTCTTCAGTGAGTTGTGGATGCTGTTGTTTAAATCTGTCATCGATAGGCCTGAGGAATCGATCTCGAAGAACAGGTCGTGACAGGAGGCACCGTCTGGTCCCGATTTTCTGAACTCAGTCACGTTGTTCAACGTTACATCTGGAAAAGTTGTTGAGAGAGAAAGGCAGTTGTTGTTGTTGTTGTCGTCGTCGTTGTACATCGAACAGTTGAAGCAATCGTCGACGTTTGAAAGTAAGTTCTTGTAAGGTTTCAATCGTTTCAAATCGGACATGATTCCAAGGTAATTCTGATCGATAGATGTTTTATTATTCATAACGTCACAATTGTTCAGCAGGCAAGATGAATAATCTGGCGGGGGAGATGATGATGACCGGACATCTTTTGTTTTTGTACTGGCATCGAAAGTGGCTATGGGCGAAGCATTTTGAAAATATTCCACTAATATAGGTTTCAGGTTTTGTTTGTTCTTGGGAGATTGAAATGTTTTGAGGAGTTCTTTACGAGAATGAAGCAGCTGACTGAACTTTGCAAAGCTGGAATCCTGAACGTTGCACACCCATTTCGCAGTTCGATCCGTTTTATTGCTTTTGCAATTTTTAGAAGTGAGATTTTCCAGTTTTTTCAGACGATGTTTCCCTTCCTTATCCTTCGACGAGTTGCGCTTTGGTGATTTGAAATTCAGCTTCCTGTCGAGGTGGCACTTGCAGCAGCAGCTCCTCCTAGAGGAAAAAATTTCCGCGATGTGATTCCTCGAAATTGATGTAGCATCGTTTTGTATGAGGTCCTGTTTGTACTTGGTGTAAAAATTATGAAAGGCGTTTATCTCAGGACTAGCTTCTACTAGAAATGGTTCTGCAGATGGTTCTGCAGCGATATTGTTTGGACAGACCTCAACATTTTCTTGAGCATCGCTGACAGTACTAACTTTCTCTGCATTCAATCCGCAACAATTTTGTTTGTGCTTGCTGTTCTTGAGAGCGGAATAAATTTTTTTAATTTTGGGAGATGAAATCCCGTGAATGCCGGCGTGTGGAGTCGTCCAAAATTCACCGATTGGCCCGTCGATCCACTTTTCCGAGTGGTTCATGGAGCCGTTCTTCTTAGGGCCATCCACCCATAACTCTTTATTGCTTCCTCCAACTTCAGTTTTTCCAGACGTTAATAATGAATTTTCAATCGTTTTGTTTTTGAAAATATTGCTGACAATTTCGTCGTGTAGGTTGTCGGATTTTTCATTTTCCACGTTCAACTCGCCGCGAAATATGCTCTCACGACCTGGTGGCTGGGCTCGAATACTCGATACCGATGATGTCAGGTCATCTTTCTCACACGAAGCAATCCTATTCTTTCTATTTTTGAGGTGAATTTTGGCAATGGGTGGAGTCGAATTTAATGTCGGTTTTTCGCAGTTAACGCCGACAGTTGGATCCTTACCGACGGTTTTTCCGTTGGCCACGAATATAACCGTATCAACCGACTGCTCGCTACTCGACGAATAATCGACATCGGAATGTCTCGTATTGCTCCGACTGCTGATCGTCGAGTTTGACATGCCCTGCAAATAAGTTCGTTACGGTTTCAGTTGAATAATTGTTCATACTGTGATGACAATTTAACAAAAAAACACATAACAAACACGCTGTTTCTATTTAATGTGAATTATTTATTTCAATTTAGTTTGTTCGATTTGATAAAATAAACTCATTGATAAATTAATAAATGAACAATAATTAAAAAATTGACATTTGGAGAGAACTTACTGAGGCATATCTCGTCCTGGAAAGTGATTTCTTGAGTTGCGAGGCGAAATGAAGGACTTGAAGGGTTTGATTGTATGATTTTGTGGATGTTGAAACATGTACGATGATGGATGTGTGATCTATCTTGCTTGGCAGGTACATACATTTCAGTAAGTTGGTCAGTTGGCTGCTACTGAGAAGACAGAGAAGATGAGATAGATGAATGAGTAAGTGAATGAATTAATTAATTAGTTAAATTAATTAAAGGATGAATGAATGAATGGATGAGCAAAGGAATGAACGAACAAACGAACAAATGAATGACGGAAAGAAAAATAATTTAATGTACGAAAATTAATAATTAATCAAAATAAATAAATTAATATGTAAATCATTAAAAGATCAGAACAAATAAATGATAAAAATAAGGAAAATGTTGCTACACACAACACTGCACACACACACACGCACACACACACACACGCACTAAAAAAGAAAAAAATTCTAAAGAAGAAGTCCAAAATTTTTTTCCCAACCCATGCGGAATAAACTGCTTGCCATTCAAGATAGAGGATATGACGTTGCCCACTTCCGTCAAACTTTGAGTCGATCCGCAATCTTTGTGCCTCCCACAGCTCCCAAGATCCAGAAGATGGAGACATCCATGGTGATGTAATTGTCCTGTAGTGTTGTGAGTAAAAGTGGATTTATGTATTGACTGTTTTTTGATTTGAAAAAATTCTTTTATTTGTTTTGTATTGTATTGTATTGTACGTGTCTTTGCATCGTTGTATCCATGTTTATGACGTCATCGTTCTGTTGTGTGGTTAAAAGTGAATTTAAAATAGAATTTAAAAATAAATACCGCTGTCGATTTCTCTGCAGACGTGAAGGGTGAACAGGAAATGCGAATGTCTTCGTTCTTGTTCGTCATCTTTTTACATTTAAAGAAGAATTATTTACTAAAATAAAATAATAATAAAAAAAACAATAATAACATTCAATATTAATTATGATTATAATAAAATAATTAAAATAATATTAATAATTATTATTTTTATAATTATAAACCTAAGACGGGTCTTGACGCGATTGCAGAATCCA